AACCACCAAGGAAGATACTTCATTCCCCACCAGGCAGTTGTCAAGGAATCAAGTACTACGACAAAACTAAGGGTAGTATTTGATGCTTCCTGTAAAACAACAAATGGAATAAGCCTCAACGACTGCATGCTGACTGGCCCACGCTTACAACAGGATTTGTTGCTTCCGAAGTTGCCCTTAAAGATTTTTTCGTTGATGATCTGCTCTCGGGAACGGATTCGGAAGAGGATGCGGTCGAACTACAAAACCAATTAATCGAAATGTTTAAATCCGGAGGTTTAATGGAAATGGTCAAGCAACAGCTTCAAGGTCGACCTACCTAAGAAGTTATCAATCACCAAAAGAAGTATCTTATCGGATACAGCCAAATTATTTGACCCTGTCGGTTGGTTGGCACCATTATCATTCATGCCAAACTGTTAATTCAAGAACTTTGGCTACAAGAACTTTCATGGGATACACCAGTTTCGCAGAGCATTCAAGAAAAATGGACAACATTTTAAAAAGAACTTCCCGATGTTGAGGATGTCTTAATTCCAAGTTGGACTCATCAAAAGGAAGGGACAAAGATTGAGCTTCACGGGTTTTGTGACACATCCGAAAGAGCATATGGCGCAGCAGTTTACCTCAAAACAAAAAAAGAATATGGCAACGAAGTTGTTACGCTTTTAACAGCCAAATCCAAGGTAGCACCAGCCCGTATAAAAACGACACTTCCCCTACTGGAGCTGTGTGCGGCTTTATTGCTGGCCAAGTTAATGAAAAAAGTAACAACTGCACTTCAGCTACAAGAAGTCACAATATTTTCCTGGACCGACTCCACGATTGCATTGGCGTGGATAAATGGGCATCCTAGTAAATGGAAAACCTTTATGGCAAACCGAGTATCAGAAATCCAATCCCTGTTACCTATATACCAAGCCGGTGCGGATTAAATAAGAGCGACGTTGCCAGATTTTTAATATTTCTCCTGCTTCAAGAATTGCCGTTAAACATGCCTCCTAAAGTTCAACCAGTTTCTTGCCAGACATGTGCTCACCTTACTGAAGTAATAAGTGAGCTAAAAAGTACCATTGAAGCATTAAAGGTGCACATGCAATCCCTTCAAAACTCATTTGATAACTCGACACCCAAATCAGCAGGAAGTAAACGAAAGAAATCTCAGGAAGTCCAATATAATTATTTATGGAATACCGGAACAGGACTCTTCCATTTCAAGCAGTGACCGTTGTTATCTGTACAAATCAAAGATTTCAGAAGTACTGCAGCATCTGATTCCCAACATAACCGTCGATACAGCTAAACCAATTAGATTGGGGAAATTTGATGCAACAAAGGAACTACCTAGACCAATTAAAATCAAGTTACAGGATGAATCTCAAGTTTTTCGACTTTTATCTAAGTCAAGGGTGTTACGGGAAAATCCACTCTACTCTTCAATTAGAATCGCTTCTGACCGTACCCCTAAGCAACTCAACTACTTTAATTCCGTGAAGACTGAATTATATAATGGAATTTCAAAAGGCGAGTCCAATCTGACCATAAAATATAATCGTGGTATACCAAAAATTTGTAATTTAAACTAAATTTGCCCAAAGAAAAGATCAAGACTGCATATGTGATATTCTACCAAAATGTTCGAGGCTTAAATACAAAAATTGATGAACTCTACTCTAATTTATATGTTAACTTTGATTATAATTTTGTAGCACTTACAGAAACATGGTTGTCAGCCAATGTATCTTCTAGATATTTTCACCTCAATTGTATAAGGTTTTTCGCAGGGATAGAAATTTTATTTCATTGAATGTAAACAGAGGTGGTGGTGTATTACTAGCATGTAAAACTGATTATGATTTAGATCAGGTGAATTTATCGTTAATTTATGATAATGTCCCTATGGTGGATATAGTTGGATATAAATGCACGATTAATCATGATAAGTTTTATATTTTTGTTACTTATATTCCCCCACAAATTACTGTTGAAAACTTTGAATTGTTTTTTGAACTATTTGAACAAACTACAACAAACCTGGTGAATGTTATTATAATTGGTGATTTTAATATTTCTAATATGCAGCCTAATAACCGTAAATATGTTAATTATCAAAATTATTGTAATTTTCAAAATATTTCTCAATTTAATGATATTCATAACAGGTATGGCGGTTTACTAGATCTTGTTTTGAGTGATCTCATGGATGTTTGTGTCTATGAGGCTGTACCTCTGGTGGATATGGACAACTATCATCCCCCTCTAAGCATACGTTTTGAATTTTTAGAACATAAATATACTAACTTTAGCAGTTGTCCGAATAACAAGGCTTACAATTTTAAAAGGAGTAATTTTCCAGATCTTTACAATGCTATTTTAAATCATGATTGGTACTTTGAAAGCAATGATGCTAACTTGGCTTGTGATATGTTTTACAAAGATCTTTATACTATCATAGATCGGTACGTTCCTAAATATATTTCTAAAAATAAAAAATATCCTAGATGGTATTCGTATGAACTAATTCAAAGTTTAAAACTTAAGGATTATTACTTTAAACATTTTCGCATGTTTGGGAGTCAATATTATCACACTCAGTTTAAAAAACAACGCACATTGGTAAAGAGATTAACTAAAGATTGTTATCAGGTACACTTAAATCAGATAGAGTCTAGCCTACAGTCTGATCCCAACAAATTTTGGTCATATGTAAATTCAAAGAAAAGTAGCTCGCGTATCCCAGGCAAAATGTTTTCTGGCGATAGTCTTTTAGAATCGCCACAGGAAATTGTTGATGAATTTTCTAATTATTTCAGTAGCGTATACTTAAAGCCTCATGATCAAAATATCATTTCCTCAACTACTTGTAATATTATTGAAAGTATACATATACATGAGTTTACTGAAGACGATATCCTTGGAGCGTTTCGAAAACTAAAATGTGGTTTTACTGCCGGTGATGACTTAATTCCAGCATTGCTCTCATACCTTTGTAACGCCAATGTTAAAGATATTTAATCTTATATTAAGAACTCCTGAATTTCCAAGTGTCTGGAAGTTAACTCGTGTGACACCTGTGTTTAAATCTGGTGAAGCTGCGAACATTGCTAATTACAGACCAATAGCAATATTGTCCAATTTTGCGAAGGTCTTTGAGATCTGTTTATATAGCCGCATCTGCCCTTTGCTGTCATTATATATTACTTCCCAACAACATGGTTTTATGAGTACTCATTACTTAATAGATCTACACTAACAAACTTAACTGTTTTCTCACAGTTTATTGCTGATACTATTGATAATCGTGGGCAGGTGGATGTTGTGTAAACGGATTTCTCGAAAGCCTTTGATACAATTGTACATAATATTTTAATTAACAAACTTGGTTCATTTGGACTTTCAGATTCGTTGATTAAATTAATAGCTTCATATTTGAATAATCGTAAATTATATGTTTCGTATCAAGGGTTTAAATCAAGATATTTTGTAGCTACCTCGGGAGTACCCCAGGGGTCAAACTTGGGACCGCTATTATTTAATCTCTTTATCAATGACCTTGTTTCTTCACTAAAAACTCAAAAATTACTTTTCGCTGACGATTTAAAGTTATATCACACTGTACGAGATGTTAAAGACTGTGAGCTTTTTCAGTCAGATCTGAACTTATTTCAGCTGTGGTATAAGGAAAACTCCTTAGGCCTAAACATATCTAAATGTAAAGTTTGCTCGTTTACCCTTAAACTTAATTCAATTAGATTTAACTATAATATTGAACATATCTCATTGTCCCGTTCTAGATTAGTCAAAGATCTAGGAATTCTGTTTGATAGTAAGTTTAGCTTTGTAAATCATATTCAAAATATTTGTAACTCTGCTAATACGGTTCTTGGTTTTATTTATCGAAACTGTAAATCTTTTAAAAATATGTTTGCACTAAAGTCACTATATTTCAGTTTAGTTCGTTCTAAACTTGAATATTGTTCAAATATTTGGTATCCTTATCAGAATCACTGCAAATCACTTGAAGGAGTTCAACGTCGATTTTTGAAAATGTTATATATTAAAAAACACAATACTTATCCAGAGAGGGGATATGATCACAATCTATTATTGCAGGAATTTAATATTTCAGCACTAGATGTTAGGAGGAATATATTTTCAATTAAATTTTTGTACAAACTTGTCCATAATAAGATTGACTGTCCAGATCTGCTTGAGCGGTTGAATTTTCATGTTCCGCGTATTCATTCTAGGTCAGTTTCAACCTTTAAATGTTTTGCAGGTACAAATGTACTTTTGCGGTCGCCAATGTTTGTTATGTGTACCAACTTTAATAAAATATCTCACGTGTGTGATATTAATTATTCTGAATTGTCATTTATTATTTGTACATTTTTAAGCGTTAATTAGTTTATTTTTGTTTATAGACTTACTTTACTATGTATAAGTTATTTTATATTTTTGCTATTATGCTGTTACTATAGTTTTTATTTTTTGTTCTTTGTCCTGTAATTGGAATTTTTTCTGTTGGGCAAATAAATTTATTATTATTATTATTATATCTGTGTGGCACCATGTAAGATCAGAAGATAATCCTGCAGATTTAATATCCCGCGGGTTGGATCCATCGAAAATAGCAAGACATACGCTCTGGTGAAATGGACCTAGCTGGTTAACCACCGGTTCTTACCCTGCAACAGCCCAAGTTAATTCATCTACTGAAATTGAAGCTAAACAGTGTATCAGCAGTCTAGTAGTCACTAGTAGTATATATAGCGGTTTCTAGATTAATTTGCATAATTTGCAATGTTGCCAATGTTCCAAGAATCGGACCAATTCGGACCGTTTCGTTTCCGGTCGGGTTTTCGGCACACGGGGACGGGGTCGTCGTTCAACCCAAAACTGTACAATGTTATTTTTTTTTTAATTTATAAAAAATCGCATACATTTGTATATTTTTAATTTATTTATAAAAATTTACACACAAAATTTGCATATTTTTATTAGTTTTTTCCACTGGATCCAAAACCATCTTCACCTCTTTCGCTTTCTGTAAGACTCTGAACTTCTTTTAATTCTGGGTAATAGATTTTTTGACATATCAATTGTGCAATACGATCACCAATTTTAACCTGGAAATTTTCATTGGAATCGTTAAATAGAATTACCTTTAAAACACCCCTGTAGTCTTCATCTACTACTCCGGCTCCAATATCAATGAAATTTTTGGCTGCTAATACAGAACGTGGAGCAATTCTACCATAGCAACCCTCTGGTAATTCTACTTTAATGCCTGTATCAATAGTAACTTTACCTCTAGCTGGAACTATATAGTCAAAGGCACTTTTTAAATCATAACCAGCTGCTTTCTTGGAACATTTGGTAGGTGGTAATGCCTGTGGAATTGCTTTTGTCCATTTTAGTAAAATTTTAGTAGATGTGGCACTATTTAGATCCATATTTTGTTTTAATTAAAATTTTGTTTTAATTAATATCGAGCAAGCGAAATTAAAAATGGTTTAAAAATATAAAATACCCACACTTTATAAATGTAATCAACAATAAACAATTACATTGTTATTTTTTTTTAATGTATTCTAGGTTTTTATTGTTATTAAAATTAATTAGGTATTAAAATGCATCAATGATTGTTCTTCTTCTTAAAGCGTGAAAATAATTATAATTAAAAAAAATATGTTTACATTCTAATTTTAAATATACCTATATAATGTGTAATATAAATAGTTTAGTAATTTATATCTGATCATTCAACGAAAAACCATGAAATCTTTATTTGAAATAACAAAATATGAAATTATTAGAATTAGTGGAAGAACAGGATTGGAATTTTGGGAATTAGCTGGAGAGCTACCAAGAACCGTTTTTCTTGCTGTTTTATTGAAAAGACATGTCAGAATATTTTTGATCTAAATTTGTGTAGTGATTCTTTTAAGTTTGGACAGTATATTCCTAATTTAGTTGATTGGATGGTTATAATAAACACAAATAATTGGCAAACATTTTTTAATGAACATTATGTATGTATATTTTAAGATTATTATTTTTTAACTGAATGCCGGAATGCACAATCGACGCAGCGCGGGGCCAGTAGGCTACTGCATGGAGACCGTTCAATTTCAACAAAATTCTTTAAATTAAACTCGCGATAACTCCATAACTAAACGTGCGATTTTTATGAAATTTGGACAGAATACTTGGATTGGTACAGCGATGCTATTAAAATAAAAAATACAAAATTTTAACCACAATCAATTAATAAATGCATCAATATTATTTAAGTCATAACTATGCTTAAACTAGTAGATGTTTATAAATTATATATATACGGTTTTTTTCTTGGTAAAATAAAGAAGTTTTTCTCCAAATTTGACAATTATTGATAAATTATTATAGCCGTAATACAAATAAATAAAAGAGCCCGCGGCGCGCCGCGGCGGCGTAAAGACAGTAAAGTGCACAAGAATCGAAACTAAACTCGATTTATCACGTAAATAGCTTAATTTGCAACAAATCATTTATTATTAGTAATTATTACTAAATGTGTTTACATTGAACACTTTACACTGTACAATATAAAACACGAATTTTATTTTGAAATAAAATGATTACCTAGGGCCGCTACTGTTTGCTATTTTTATCAATAATTGACCGCTAATATTCATCTTGTCTACTGTTTGATTTGATTTTTAAATATATAAACAGATTAGCAACGAAAAAGATAACGAAATGTTACAAAAAGACCTAGACTATGTATCAGAATGGCTTCAAGTAAATAAGATGTTTCCTAACGTAGTAAAGTGTGCAACTATAACACACACGTAAATGTAAATTTATTAATAGTACATATAATTTAAATAACATTAGGTTAAGTAGAATTTATTAATGTAAAGATCTGGGTGTAAAATGCAATTAAATATGAAATTCAACTCTACCTACAATACAATAGTACCTAAATAAGGCATTTAGGGTACTTGGTTTTGTACTTAGAAATGCCAAATATTTTAAACATATTTCATCCCTTACTAAATTGTATATATTGTATGCACTAGTGAGGCTTCATCTTGAATATGCTTGTATTATCTGGTCACCTACAGCAGAAATTAATAGTAATGTCATTCAAAAAGTACAAAAAAGATTTCTAGATATTTACATGTAAGGAATATAATTTATACCGGTTTTTGGTATCATATGTATCTATAGATACATACATTATATACATTATAATTTGTTACATGTAAATATCTAAGAAATCTATATGTTAAATTATTTTAATTTTGTAATCCTCGAAAGAAGAAATATGCAAGCTGTTTTCTTTATATTTTTTGTTGAAACAAGATCTACTTATATACTGTTAATAATATTCAATTTTTAGTGCCAAAGATTAACTTAAGGATAACTAATAAAATACTGTTTTATACTAATAAAAAAGGCTGTTCGCAGCTTAATTTATGTTGGTGCAGTGCAATAATCTAATTGATAACTGTGATATTGATTTTTTTAATACCTACCACTGTAAAGCATATCCAGATATTTTTTAATTGTAATGTTATTTAGTATTAGGCTATGTAGGATTAAGTTTAGGGTATCGACATGTTGTAATTACAATGATATTGTGTTTGTAAAAGAATAAATAAATAAAAAATCTTTTAACTTTTTAGCAACATTTGGTTTCCACAAATTATTATTCTTCGATCTTTTTCGTCCGATTTGTTCGGACGAAAAACATCGAAGAATAATAATTTGTGGGAAGCAAATGTTGCTAAAAGTTAAAAGATAAGGTAATAATTTTATTTCAAAATAAAATTCCTGTTTTATATTTTTCAGTGGACAGTGTGCAATATAAACACATTTAGTAATAATTACTGATAATAAATGATTTGTTGCAATTAAGCTTTTTACGCCGCCGCGGCGCGCCGCAGGCTCTCTTATTTATTAGTATTACGGCTATAATAATTTATCAATAATTGTCAAATTTGGAGAAAAACTTCTTTATTTTACAAAAAAAAAACCGTATATATATAATTTATAAACATCTACTAGTTTAAGCATAGTTATGACTTAAATAATATTGATGCATTTATTAATTGATTGTGGTTAAAATTTTGTATTTTTTATTTTAATAGCATCGCTGAACCAATCTAAGTATTCTTTCCAAATTTCATAAAAATCGCACGTTTAGTTAAGGAGTTATCGCGAGTTTAATTTAAAGAATTTTGTTGAAATTGAACGGTCTCCATGCCTTCTGGCCCCGCGCTGCGTCGGTTGCACTGAGAAAAATGTATGTAATTTTACACAACTTTCACACTAACTAAAGTTGTAAAAAATTACAAATTTTTGGTAAAAGTACATATTTTTGTGTTTTTAAGAAGATATATGTGTGAAATTAGATAAAAAATGTAAATTTACATATTCTTATAAAAGTACATAACATATAATGTGAATTATATAAAATTTTAAAAGTACTATGTAAAATTTACATTAAAAAGTAAATTCTACATAAAAATATTAAATATTACATTATTATAGGTAACCTTTACACATTTCATGTAAATATCAACCAATAGGATTTGAGCATTAAGTCACGCGAACGAAACGAACATTTTGTTGGCCGAGTTAGGACGCGTCGTGTAGTGTTTATAGTGGTTTTTTCGTATTATTTGGTAAGTATATTAATTATAAATAAGGAGCATAAAAGAAGAAACTAGGATGCCATCAATAAAATGAGATTTTCCCATTATTAATTGTTATATTTTACTTAATTTTATTTAAATAAGTTTAATTCCAATACTGGTATATTAAACATCTAACCAGTAAAAACAAAATATTTGGTGCTTTGATGTCAAGTGGTAAAAATGCACCTGTTTACAAATTAATATCTAGTTTAAGCAATAATTTTAGTTTAAATAAATATTTTATTATAGGCTAATTTTACTTTTTTTTCAGATCCAAATATTTTTTATTGAATAAATATTAGTTATAATATATTAGAACAAATAATAATAGGTTAGATTTTAGGTTAAATAGGTAGGTAATATTATTAAAATAAATCCTAATTTCTATTTTTATATATATTTATATGTATTTGTATTTAAAAAATGTTTATTTATTATTGTTTTAAATATACAATTATTGTTAACTTACAATTTTATTTTATTTGGAAATAGATGTCCCTAAAAATTCTACCAATTTAAAAGTTATCTTTTAAAGTGTAGTATTTAAACTTAAAAAATTGCCTAAACCGTATAATAATCTTACTATTTTTAACTTATTTATATTATTTAAAAATTAACAAAAAAACTTAAAATGCGTAATTCTCAAATAAAAAAATAAAAATGTACTACGCTTAAAAAGTTTGCTTCTAAATTAAAATTGTCTATTTTTTGTGTAGATATATATACAGTTTTATTTTTTTTAAATACCTGTATAAAGGTATTTTGTAAAAATTAAAACTGCAATATTACAAAATTTTGGGTTTATTTAAATTTATTTAATTGCAAAAGTTAAATAAACCCAATATTTTGTAGTATGATTATATAGAATACAATTACATAATTTTGAAAAAATTACATATTACATGCATGTAAGTAAAATACATTATATATATATAAAATTTACACAAACGTGTAAATATAAATTTCATCTGTCATGTACATTTTAAACAATTATGAATTATTTACAAATTTTGTGTAAACATAAATCACATATTTTATGTAAAAACACATAGATATGTTTAAGTTACACAATCTATGTAATTTCACATCAGTTTACGAAGCTAACAAATAACCAACGACCAGTTATGTGAAAATTTTTCGCACATGCATTCCGGCAATTCATTTATCTATTTTTTGGGATTGTTTATATAATTTTCAAAATTTAGATCCATTTACTAAATTTAAAAATATCAAAAATCATATACATATACGTACTGAAAACTAATTATTATTATTTGAAATTGTTAAAAATAAATCTTGGTGTCATACCTGTATAAGACATGCACTTTTTTCTCTTCTTCTAAATTATAAACGTTGTTCACCTGACATAAGTAAAGAGTGGTGGCTAAAGGAGGATGAATAAAATTAATAAAAATTTCATTTTTTAAATTCACACCATGATGGTGGGGATGGATAAATAAATAAAGAATAATAAAATGTAAACAATTAGTTTATAAATAGGTACAACTACAATTATGGGTAAGTTTATAAATTGATATTTTTTAGTTGTAGCAACAATAATGAATGTTAAAATACAATCTGCTATTGATAAAATCGATAAAATTTTACTTATGTTAAGTAGACCTACACAAGATGGAGATTGTGAATATAAGGAAATGTTTAAAAAATGTAATTCATTATTTGATATTTCTTTGAAACCTAAAAGAAAACAAGAAATTTTGGAAAGGTTTGTAGAAGTGGATTATATCAAATTGACGAGATTTGGA